CCTTGCTTTTTCACTGTATCGTGAACACTCTCCGTTGATTGCTTAAAGTTAGAGTTGTATTTGTCCTCCATCGACCAGACAATAGTTGTCTGTCTGGCAATCTCGGCCTTATACTACAACTAGGTTTTCTCTGGTTGTTCAAAGGTACAGTCCTACATTGAATATATCATAAAATATATAATTATAAAACATGCAAACATATCTATAAAATGTTGGGACTTACCAGGAATTTAACCCTAAGCCCAAAATCTACCGTGTTGTCATAATTGAGATAAAAATAAAGCAAAATAAATCTAACCTTATTCCATTAGTATAGTCGAATTCGGATCTGCAAACAATGGAGGGTTTTGTGTTCTTCAAGCCTATGGCACAACCCCTCCTGAGAAAACCGCTAGGGTTTTTGTCGTTACTCCCACGATGAGATATGGAACATAATGGTTGTTGCGTCTAGACCTGGGATCACAACCCTATTTATATCCCTTATTATTAATTGGCCTCATCACCCAATTAATAATTTACCGGGTTTCTGCACATTGGAGGCCCGCGCTTACTAAACACATTTAAGCCCAATAAATTAATATATCATTTAATATAGGCTTAATCTGACTGATAACTCAAATAGTTACATTTAACCCACAATTGGATTTTTAATCCAACAATCTCCCACTTGGGTAAATATACACTGAATAACCTTATGAGCTCATGAATGTTTTGCTATCAGGTCCTTAATGTATATTATCAATCTTATCTATAAGTCACGTCAATGCGGATCAAAGCGGTCGTCACTGCATCTATCGCAATAGGACCGATCAGTGGTCACAACACTAATATAACCTAAGATTCGATCAAGTGCGGATGCACAACATGGAAATTTCATGTAATGTGATCTTAACATGCCTATTTCCAACTGATCCACCTTAACTTTAATTTCAGAACAACTAAATACTGAATTAAAACTGAACATTGCACACTGAATATTGAACATTGAATACTAAATTGTGCAGTGTAAACCAAAGTAACTTTAATAGTATTTGAACATTACTAATCAGCTCCCACTAAACCGAAGTATGGAAATATGGTTCCACTATCAAACGAGCAATATGCTCATTATAAAACTTATGTGGAAACCCTTTACTAATTAAGCGGATCCGTAATCGTGGAAGTTATATGAATATGTTAAATAACTAATTCATTATATGAAGTCAAACTATTAAATAAATGGTGATTATTATTATCAAATGATGCACTAGTTCCAATCGATTTTGAATTCTGGAAGAGACAAAACTTTATATTCGAATGAACAATAATAACTGAATTTGTTCAAAATAGAGATCGAAATTAAATTTTGACTGAAGATGGTACCATAAAAAATGCCTCATCCAAATTCAAATAGTAACGAATACTCAATAATAATTTAAAATTGTCAATGACTTCAACTTGAACTTTCTTGTCGTCACCCATATAGATGTATCTTTCAACATCAATTGATTTCGACAATAAAATAATCTTGCATAGATATACTGATGTGTGTTGTTACATCAAAATCCACCCGCAGGTGTGTCTATAAACTGAAATTAAATTAATTTCAAGAGCAAGACTAATAGGACAAACATGTCCTCCGAAATGTCTAACTTAAGTGCCCTCAATTTAGTAGCAATAGTAGACATGTTCATGATGTACTCCCTTATGTTATGTTTGTCGTTATACTTTATGGTAGTGAGAAGAGTACGCATTTCTGCCTTATCGCTTTTGGTAAAGCGTTTCTTAATTTCGACAAGGAATCCATATATATTGTACTCCTAAAAATTTATGGAGTGCTTTTCTTAATGATAATTAGACTTAGGCGTTGGACCTGTCCCACTTCTCAAATAACTATGCTCATGAGCAGTGTTTTTCGCCGTATGAGTGAGTTGGTCTATTATTAATGCCAAGTCATGATTCATGCAACCAAATGAATCATAATGAAGCTCAATAATAATGCATTCTCATCTCAAGACACTAAGTGCAACATCAATGGTCAATCTTTGGATCAATAATATTGATTGCTAGCAGTCATCTTGTTGCAATAATCATATACAGACAATAAGTAATGTCAAACAGCAACCAATCTTTGGACTGATTTACCATTCACATAAGTTAAATCCATATAATCGTCCCATACATACTATCGCAGATGTATATTTCATTCTGTCAATTACCAACTGCCTTTGGGCCGAAGAATAATCACATGAATTAAAATACACATAAACACTTACGTTATCAAGAAAAAATCTTATATAAGAGAGGTTAATTTGGCAACGTCAAATACTTGATCTTCACCGTCAAAATGCAGCATGCTTATTAACAACTGAATGCACATGTCTATAAGCTACTGAATGTTTCATATGTGAATTTATAAAATAAAGTAGCTATTATATCACAAGTTATCGAGCAACATCAGCAAACGTTGTTGGACAAATTACTGACTCGCCAGTGATAAACTTATTTTGACAACTAAATGTAGACAATAAAGTAATATGCCAAACAACACTCCATCTTTGGACAGATCTATTATCCACACACAAACAATCAAAATTATCATCACCACATTCAATGTCACTAAACATGTATGTAACTACTTAATGGTTGAGTTGCCTTTGGGTCAATCAGAAGCCTTATAAGTCACAAACACAACTTTCTAATACACAAAATAAACTGATTTACACAGCAGAGGCTGCTTTGGCAACATAATTGTTTCAACCGATTCATGAAATATATTATATTATTTATTGCTAATTAAATTCACCTTAAATAAATTATGTATGTCCAATACATATGAAAGGTATAACAACAACAATTAATTGATGGACTTATTAAAATAATTAAATAGTCCAAGAAAGACTAAATGCAACGGAATTATATAAGCAAAAAACATGCCACCCAAGGAGACTATAAATTAATACACCAAATAATTATAGTCTTATTTAAACAAATGTATACCCTAATAAATACATGCTACTATATCCCAAATTTAATTGGATTTTAAACAAATCAGAATAAATATGTAATTCTGATTATTCAAAAATTCAGCAATAAAATAAATAGAGCATTGCACAACTGACAATGAAAGTACACAGGACCATATGTACATACTGATTGCATATATTTAGTAATTTAATGAATAGATCCATCAACAATGTAACACATAATCATATTTGAATTTATAAAACTCCACACCATACTTTATCTGAATCCAAAATTAATAGAATCCTTTAACGATGAGAGTGAATTGATTTTATAAAATCAATAATAATAAATGAATAAACAAATTCAGTACATATTAAATCTAATTACAGATATATTATTATATGTACATTAATTAGTAAATCTTTACTGCATGTATACATATGTAAGCACACAAAAATTGGACACACTAATTTAATCGACATCGTGTAATATTGCATAATTATGTAATTAATTGATTAAATGAGTACACTGTATTGATGTAAACATCAACAAAATTAATGCTTACTCCATTCCATTGAGTATTAAATAAATTAATAATACCCTCAGTCCAATTATTAATGCAAATTAAACTTCAGACTAATAATACTTTTCCATATGGTATAATGGCAAGGAATTCATACATATATATATATAAATGTATATATTTCCGATAACAAATATCCATACGATTGCATATCAAAATCAAATTAAACTTCAATCAAGACTAATCTCAATTAAGCAATCAATTTATTTAATTGATATACCAAGAATCCGTAGTACATGCAATCACATTCATAATAAAAGAAGTGATGCAGACACTCACATTCATAACTTATTGTCTGCTTTGATTCATAATATATATATATATATATTTTATAATTGCATTCAATGTCCATTCATACTTGTAAAAAATAAACAAAAAACACGATTACATAATCATGTTAACATATACATATATTAATTGCAAGCAAATTATTATATCGCAAACACGTCAATAAATCATCATACATATTTAATGATCAATGGACAGCAAACTTACGGAGTGATTTCACGAATGGAGACCGAAGGGATTGATGTATGAATAAAGATGATATCAACATTCTCAATACGAGACATATGGACATGATGGCAGCACACGAAATAATATTTTCACTTAATTAAACTTGATTAAGCAATTATATCATACAATGAAAAGATTCGACACCAACATCTCGCAAACAGATCAATTCGGAAAAATAAGTCTGTTCTATCTTGCGTGGATTAAATCTAACCGATCAAACATCAATTGATCTAACAGATAAATCTCAAAAATTCAACACAAAACTACTCTGATACCAATTGTTGGGACTTACTAGGAATTTAACCCTAAACCCAGAATCTACCATGTTGTCATAATTGAGATAAAAATAAAGCAAAATAAATATAACCTTATTCTATCAGTATAGTCGAATTCGGATCTGCAAACAATTGAGGGTTTTGTGTTCTTCAAGCCTATGGCGCAACCCCTCCTCAGAAAACCGCTAGGGTTTCTGTCGTTAAATATGGAACGTAATGGTTGTTGAGTCTAGACCTGGGATCACAACCCTATTTATATCTCTTATTATTAATTGGCTTCATCACCCAATTAATAATTGGCTGCATATTGGAGACCCGCATTTACTAAACACATTTAAGCCCAATAAATTAATAGATCATTTAATATAGGCTTAATCTGACTGATAACCAAATAGTTACATTTAACCCACAATTGAAATTTTTAATCCAACATAAAATACTATTATCATATAATAATGCAGCATATCACAAAACAATTTTTTATAAAAGTCCTAGCATCACTATAAAGTAGCAATAGCATCAAAACATGCATCTAAAACTACATATGCAAAATAATGTAATCTCCATCATTTGTTCTTTGTCTTTTTCACTTCTTATGTTCCAACGTTAACATCATTCGATGTGAAAGATTTTTAAATATCATCAATCGTCCGCTTCCGGACAATCAAATATGTGTAAAATTGACCAACCAAGTGTCTTATATTCAGCATATATATATATATAAAAGATGTTGCAACATAGTAAATAAACAAAAATCACAAAACAAGGTATCACAACATCTACGGACAACTGTTACAACATCTACAGACAACTATTACAGTATCCAAGTATGAATATATAAATTTATTGTGTTAATAACTTACAACAAGACAATGCATGCCCCTATTTGGCCTTGCACTCCTCATATCATCGTTCACGAATGGCAAAAACTGCATCAAACATTCTCTCTTTGAAAAAGCTAGTCCAATTATATTGGTCCGTAATTTCCTCGGATTTGAGAAACTCCAAAAAACGATTATTTACCATATTGTTTGTCATAGGGGAAAATAACATAGAGATAGCAAATAACACATACAGCCGCCAATAATTCACATTTCTAATAATTTCGTCTCCCTCCAACAACCATTTGAAGTTGCTTTCTTTTACATGATGTTTTTCCATTTCAATCAAATTATACTTTCTACGGAATTCGTTGCAAAACCATAATAATTCAACCCTCATCGAGGTAAATTGTGAACCTATTGCAACCAAATGACAAACCATACACTTTCGTAAAATCCTCGTAGGTCATTATCCACTCAAGTCCATTAGGTAAAGCAAAACACCGATGATCTATATATCCCACATATTAATTATACATAATTTGGAATAAAGGCTAATAGGCATCGGATTAACATGTAATAACCCCTTTAAAATATGTACTGTTAAAAAAAACGAAGGAAACCACCACTTGGAAGAAAATCTTTCTCCTTGTTTAAATCGCAAATTTTCCTAGGAATAATACAAGCGCATTGAAAATAGAAAGTTTTTTAAACATTTGATTTATTGTCTGGGATAACGAAAGGATTGGGCTTAGACATACTACCGTTCAATTTATCCTCTTGGATTACAATGGATTTATATTTAGATATACCAACAAAAAAATAAATTTACTCAATTGAAAGAGGATCGAAGATGGAACGACTGCCCGGGACTGGAATCACACAAACAAGTTGGGAGAAGTCGATTTCAAACCTGGGTTTATGTCGCATTTGAATGGGAAAAGGGATGGATGGTTCGATTGATTTTTGCGTTGATGACGGTAGCGGCGGTACCAACAACGACAGTGACGGAAGGCCGACGACGGCAGAAGAGCGACGGGAGGGGCGATTCGGCAGACGATGGATGGGATGCGACAAGGGCATTGTGGGAAACGTAATGAGGTGAAATGTTTTTTATAGGATTCGGTAAGTAATTAGGGTTTTAGAAACAAAATTATCCTAAATAATTTTTATAAAATTTAATACTATAAATACCATGTACATAAAACACCGTATAGAATGAAAATATATTATAGAATTATGATAATATTATAATTAATATCACATCAATTTCTTGCTTGAATTAAATTAATTACTTAAATTAAAATTATTACCAAAAATATCTTAATTAATAAAAATATGTCACAGATAATAGATATAAAATTTACTTCTACAAATAACTTGTTCAGCAAATACTATATAGCATATAATTATATCATTGAATTAAGGATATCATATGCATATACTACCGATAGCACAATATGGTCAAATTTTGGATAAGATCTTGAAACCATAATTAACATTATTTTCTTAATTATGCTAACATTTGTAATTAATATCATATCAATTTCTTATATGAATTAAATTTAATTACTTAAATTAAAATTGTTAGCAAAAATATTTTAGTTTTATAAAATTATATGGTAGATAATATATGTAAAATTCAATTCTACAAATAACTTCTACAACAAATATATTATGGAATTACTCATAACATATGTATATACGGGTGATAACAAAATATAATATGATCAAAATTTGAAACTATAATTAATGTGATTTTTTAATTATGATAATGTTTCTAATTAATGCAATGTTATTTTTTTACCAACTTCAAATATTTATTTAAATTAAAAAATTTCTTAAAAAAATTTCTATCCAAATTTACAATTTTTACTTGATTGATATCCATTGGATCAATCAATTATCAAATCCTACTACTATAATAAAATAAGTAGTGTCAGATGGTTTTCATCAATGTAAGAACAATCTAATTATAGATGATACTCACAAAGTTACACATTTATGTCTCACTTATTATTTAAGATTGTCTATCCAAATTATTTAAAATCATTTGAAAAATTTCTCTATCCAAATTTATAATTTTAATAAAATAAGTAAGGTGTTCATGATTTTACAACATTAGCACCTTTACAGCAGCCTTATCTCACCTATATAATTCTTTTTTCATTTATAGTTTATGTTGTTCCCGCTCAATTACTAATTTTTCACTTTTTTTTTTTTTTTTACATATATATCATGTAACAATTTATTATTGGCCTTACTAAATCTAAGAGTATTTTAAATAGTTACCAATGATAACCCAAACAGAAGCACATTGGTAATGCAAGGAGAAGACAAGGGGAAGCAAATAGGCTAATTCCATGATACAACATGAAGTAACTTCCGAATATAGAAATTATTCTACGTGTAAACTACACGGGCTTGGTATGATAATAGATACCAATGGGCACCAAATTTTCTTCCCTTTGATATACTGTGTCATTTCTGTCCGTCCAATAAAAGGACTGTTGTTTCATTTTTTTTCTTTTTGGTTTTAAAAAAAATAAATAAATAAACTTTAAAAATTGTAAATAGATCCCTCACCCCGTCATTACCCAAAAAGCTACGTAAAAGAAAAATAAAAATCCAATTTCTTTCCTTCTTCATTCTTGCCGCCGTGAAGGTCAGTCGCCCGGCCTGCCCTTCGCCGCCCAGACCCCGGCATCGTCGGCATCCTTTTGCTTTTGCATTTTCTTTTTTTTTGGAACCATTCTAACCGCGTCCAAGACGAATTTTATTTCATTCGACTATATCACCAAGCCCATAATCGTTGCCTTCTCCTCTTCCCCAGGTACACGATGATTATTTTTGGAGATTTTATGCAATTTCAGTTTAATTTTGTTGCCTTAGTGTTAAACTTTGTTGTTATGTATTTAAAATTTATCTTCAATCTATATTTTTGTTCACTGTTATATTTGGTATGTTTATCTTGTAGTTGGCTTAAAATTCATCAAAAGTTTTTTTTTTGTTATGGTTTTTGAATGAATGAATTTTTCATTTCATTGTGATTAATTTTACAGGATATGGAGTGTCGGTATTTGCAAAGATGTTAAGAAGATATGGTTGTCTTGATGGCCACAAAAGCCTCAAAGCTAGAAAACAAATGTGCTGAATTAATTCCTTGACATTTTTGTGTTTGAATTTTATTCAATACCTAATATTATGTTATTTTCACGATACATTGATATATTGCCATCTATGTTGATTAATGCACAATATATCTATGAAGCAATTAACTATGGAGTTTAATTTATAAGAGTAGTAGTTTTTTGTGCCGTTATTGCTTTAGTTAAGAATACTTTGGCCAAGCTAGCAGTCTAGAACTAGCTACATTTACTTACCTCAGTTTGTATAATTCCAGCCTAATTATTTCATATCTTAGTTAATTTGCATTGTTAGAAACTAATCGGATGTAGGTTTGTAGTTACCATTCGTCTCCCATGTTTATTTAACTTTTCGTGCCTCATTAAATTTATCATTATGTTGGGATATAACAAAAGTCCAAATTGTAATACCCTTGGAGTTTGGCTGGTGCTTAAGCTAACTCTTATGGATGAGCCGATACCAGATCATCCGAAATTGAATAGTAATTAAATAGATTGAATAGATTATTCATATCATACACATCCCTTTTCTAAAGTCCTATTCAAAGAATTATTAGTTAAATATGCTTGGTTTAGAGGAGCGCGTTAAAAGGACTCGCGGTAATCTGTAAACCCTCAAAATTCACTCATTGGCTATAAGATGAGAATGTAAATGCATGCCTTAAATTATATATTGCACAGAAATAATATATGGTTCCCTAAAACTCTGTTGACAAGACGAGAAAGAGATAATAGGCTACTGCATCCTCCTCCACCCATAATTGCAAAACATCATATTATATCCTCCCGACCCCAGAGTTAGCTGAGTTGGAAAATGAAGAAGGAAATATCGTACTGGTTTGTCACTTCATCACCTCTTGTTCCTTTTTCGGTAACACCATAACTTTCCGATCCAAAATTCACAACCTGAGGTTCTTCTTGAGATTGTAGGATTGGTAACACCTTAACTTTCCGATCCAAAATTCACAACAAGAGGTTCTTCTTGAGATTGTATGATTGGTTTCACAACCTCCCACTCTCCATAAGCATAGTGGGCATTTATCATTGAATTTATATGCAACATTCTACAATTATTTGGGATCGAATCCAATTATTTGGGTATCGGGTCCGAGTCTAGGTATTGTGCACCCTTATCAAATTTGGTCGGATCTCGGGTCCAATGGTGGACCCTACCTGGACCCGACCTAGATCCGATTAATATATTAATTATATATATGAAAAAAATTAATTTTTAATAATATAAATTATATTAAAAATACTTTTTTATTTATTTATTTTTTACTATTTTATTGCAATATTTTTGAATAAAATATATAAATTTTAATATATGTTGAATCCGGGTACGGGTTGAGTCCATTGAGTATTTGGGTTGAGTCCGAATATAATTGTGTCCAAGTATAATCGGATTTGAGTATCTTTCTATTTTTTTTTTTCACCGCGTCATCAAACATACTTTCTTCAATTTTACATCCACAATGAAATTAAAAAACTAATTCAATTTTTTATATATTTTTTAAATTTAAAACTAATCAAATAATAAATTAATATTATTTTCTAATATTTAATTTATTAAAATATAATACAAATATTTAAAACTAATAAAAAAAAATATATTCAATATTAATATCATTTTGTAAAATAGTAATATAAAATTTAATAAATTATAAAATTAAAACATAATAATATATTCAAAATAAATAACAAAATAATATCTATACATATATATATAATATTATATGTCATGTGTCACAATGATATTAGGACACATGGCAAAAAGAAAAAGGCACATCTCCAAGGGTGTAAAAAGGGCACATCTCCAAGGGTGGTGAGCAGAACACCTTTGGTGATAATATCTCATATTATTTGATGGGTATCTCTAAAATGGAGATACCTGGTGGCCTAATTCTAGGTGGTGACTGATTGTAATCAAATAAGTTGACACAGCATTATCACTACACTAACTACAAGATCTATTTGACCTAACATTGGCTATTGGAAATCACAACAAAAATGCATTACATTAAGAAGGTCAATTCTGAGAAAACATGACATATAATAATAGAGCATGCATTCATTTCATTATAGGGAGGAGGAGGAGGAGACCAAAGAAAAAGAATAGAATAGAATAGAGAAAAATGAAGTGTATCGGATAACTAACAACTTACATCGCATGGCCATGGTGCTTATCAAGAAAGTTAGGCCAACCCTTTGGCCTGGCCAGTTGACCCCCAATTTTGGTTGCAACACCACCTACCTATAAAATGGGGAGCTGGAGTTCAGAGTTACTTACATAGTCAGAATGGGAATTTCTAATCCAAGTGGTGCTACGTTACAATCAAATATAAAATTCATATCAACATCTGAATGAATCCCCAAACATTTGGGGTTCATCCTCATTCAGGAAGTCACTGGCTCTAAGATCACAGATTCAACACCAACAATTAATCAAACAATAGACACAAAGAAAATTCACAATGTTGCCTCTTGTTTCAACATTTTTCAAAGTAGGATTACAACTGACAGAAAATGTATCAATTTCTCTCTGGAATTAAATGTGCTTCAAATGATCGATACAGACGGAAAAAAAAAAAAAAAAAAAAAAAAGAACTCTCAAGGTAATAATGTGTATTGCATGACAAATTGAAAATATAATCAAATTATTCTAACGTGATTTAATATACTTGTTTTCGCACTATGCATACATTCAAATATTTTTCCCTCTAAAAAGTATCTCATTCAACACCTGTTTGCCATTCAAAACCATCACATTCGAACCTAATTTCCATATAAGTTATAACATCCATAACCTAATTTTCATTCGAAACTTTACAACACCCTAAAACATCATCAAGACAAACAAACACCCCAAAGCAATAAATTCAGGCTATCATCAATCAATTTGTAACTGTCATCGAGCACACATTATTTCACAAGGCTAAACTAACAACAAACCGAAGCCATACCTCAAATTCTCCTGACAGCTTCTATGTTCAGCATGTCCACATGCCAATGCAGCTCCTCATCTAGCAATCTTGAAGTTCATAAGCACTAAAAGCTTAAAAAATTAATCTAATAATCACACACTTCCATAGGTATAGAGCATGTCAATGTCATCACATGACTGCCAACGCATGCATTGTTGACAAACAAGAATGCATGCTAGAACATAGTAATGGAAAGAACGAGATGTCTTTGATAAAGTGAAAGAATATATTTCTGTGCTGTCATCGAAATAAAAATGCCAAAAAAAATAAAATCTAGTCACACTGCAAAGCAATTACAATAACCATCAAAACCATTGAGCGTATCTTCTGTCGAACAAACAGCTAACTTAATCCAAAGCTCTTATCAGCAACATATCCTGGATGTCTTAGAAATTTGTAACAAGCAGACGACTGGGGTATATCTAAATGTGGATGCAATTCAAGTTCAATCAATCACGCTCTCTTCAAAATATACCCCAACGCGATGCCAATCAAGCCGATAATGATCACATACAGGAGGGGAATACCGCCATGGGTACTACTTCCCCGACGCCTTAACATATCCTGCGGAACATGACCAATTCCAGGAAATATTAGCAAGGGATCAACTTTAGTGCCACAGAGGGAACATATCGAAAGGGTCATCCTTTGCAGCTTTGTAAAGGAGAGTTGTTACAAATTTACAACACCCACAAGGACAAGGCTATATTTACCATTCTTTCAATTCTCATCAAGATTGTGGCGACTAATATAGCAATAGAATTCCTTCATTTTAAATTTAAAATGGGGTGTTTTGCACAATTAAGTACTATCTTAATTTTCACCCTGTATGTATAAGACGTGCATATTCAATGAAAACTGGATGGCATTTTAAGAGTACAGAAGATCAAAATGGGTATTAACTTTGAACAAGATTATTATCTTAGTTTCTCTTACATGATATATTCCCCCTAAACCAAATAATTCTAAGGAAAGAAAAGTAAAACAAATCATTATATTATGTGCCATTTTAAAGGCAGTTTCAAGTGGGACATGGCACAAATGATTATTCGAGATCATTCATCATTCTATTATAACACATGGATGAAGACTCTAATAAAGCAAGAAACAAATGATTACCAGTTCTTGTTGAAGCTTGTAATTTTGCTGAACAACAATACGTTTCTCCTCTGTAAGCTTTGAAATCAGTGCCTTAGCCTAGAGTTTGGATTTAAACAGAAAAAAATTAGTAAATTAACAATTATATACATTTATTGTTGAGAATTTGAGGGTAAAAACAAATAATGACCAATAAAAAAACAACTAGGTCTTTCATAATAAGGAAACACAAAAAGAAATACTGTTTCAAATAAAATTGATGCAAGGAAAGTGAAAAAAGCACAAAAATTATATTCAGCTCTAAAACTGCATAAACTAGCCCCCCGAATGATTGAAGAGAATAACCTCATTAAAATTCAATAGAAGAGATTCACACATGAGAACCAAAACCAAAATACAACTAAATAGCTAGCCCTACAAAATTAAATAAAGCCAATATATTATAGCATAGACCTCTGGGGTGCTTTCCTGGTGGTCCGATGATTTTGACATCTGCAAAGTCATAAGAAAGATTGAGTTATTATAAATTCCCTGATGTTACAAAGCTTCATTGATTGAGAGACAATGCAACAATATTCCAGATCACAAAAAAACCAAAACCTACCACATTGAAATCTGAACCCTGATTCACAGCCCCATTCTCTGATAAAGATGCCCTAGGCGAGTAACCTTCCTCCGAACCTTCTCTCACAGGTGAAGGAGGTCGAGGGGGCGGTACATAGACAACTCTTAACTTGGATTCCTCAACACGATTCCCAGACTCTTTGTTGAACTAATCAAAAAGATTATCAATAGCTACCCAAACACACCAAAATGTATACTGTAGTTAAAATTCTTACTGCAGAAAAAAATGAGAAATTTACCATTTCAGGAGTAATATCCTTTGCCGTAACTCCAGCGCTCACAGTAACACTCTGCAGGAGAAACTTATCCCTGCATTGCATGTCCGGTGGCACCTCCTTTTGGGCTTGCATTGTTACTAAATCAATAAATAATAAAAAAAAAATTAAAATCCACAGCCATTTAAGTCATCAGTAAATTATTCAAACTCAATTCTACCAACATTCAGACTTCAACATCTTGAATGAACAGATTAACATAATAGAGAAATATAAATGTATATATGTATGTGTGTGTGTTTTCAATTCAAACACAGACCTATAACATCACATGTTGAATGAGGTACCACAACTCCAGTGTTCGGCCTCACACAATACTTCTTTGGATTTGTAGTCTTCACCTGAACAGCATGAGAAAGAAAAAGAGAATATATATAGATATATATATATATATATATATAATGATCAGAATCAGGCATTCCTTCTCCGCGGTTTAGTTTCTTCTTATACATAATCCGCAGGGAATTGCAAGATTGTAACAAGAAAATAACTGCAACACATTCAAACGAAGGAAATGGCACCCACCTTAAATGCAACATAATTATCGGATTTGTTGGTCAATTGCATGGTACAGGAGATCTGTTTCTTCAGTTCAACTTTTACAAACACGAAACGAGAAACAAATTAATCACAGAAAACAGAAACGCAGATCCAAAAGAACATGAAAAATTAAATTCATCACAAATTCCCCATCCCCAATCCATCGAAACTTCTAGAAGCAGCAATCTTCCATCACACACACAAAATCCAAAACTTTCTCATTGTTAACAAAGAAATTAAAAATAAAATAAAATAAAATAAAAGAGAAATTGACAGTCGCGTACATGGGAATTCAAGCTCCAGTGGCTCGATATGAAGGAGCTCGCCGTTACTCATTTCTTAAGGGATCGCCGATATCTCCGCCGGATAACTGATCGCGTCTTAAATTATCGAGGCGAGCAGAGAATCTTCGATTGGAATCACGAATTGACGGCCAATAGCACGATTAATTCAGCATCGACGTGATGGAGATGAGAGATCTGGATGGATCTTCAAAAATTGGGAAATTTCTCATCAGCAATTTCTGCAGTTAGAGAGAGAGAGAGAAAGAGAGAGTCGTATAAATAAGAGCAAACGTGGAAAGTGCAGAATGCCCCGACTCCGGTGAATGTGCTGTACATTTTGAACCAAAGTCGCGTTTCTTCAGTTAAGAATGTTAAGTCGCGTTTCAATAGGAGTATAAAATTTGAAACATTGAAAACATAATATACTCCGTCACTTGTGAAATATTTGACGTGTTTAGTTTAGTAAATGAATTATAATACTCCGTCTTCCATCTCATAAATACGTATCTATTTATTTTTTTACGAAATTTTAAAAATATTAACATTATATTGAGATATAGTAGAAATAAAGTAAAAATAACTAAAATGGTCTTATTAATTAGTACTGGTATGATATAAAAGTAACAATATTTGTGTAATATATTGGAAGTTGTAAGGGTATTTGTAATTTACTAAAAAAATAAAATTAACACCTTCTTATGAAACAGACCAAAATGAAAAAATGAATACTTTGTTATGAGACGAAAGGAATTGTATGTTATAATATTATTGTATTATTTTATATGACCGGTATTATTGATATTTTAAAATAAAAATCGATAAATATACTGACAAGTTAGTTTTACAGCTATTGCTTCCAAAGATTTGACGTGTACTTGAAAGTATCAATATACTAATAAGTTAGTTTTACATTTATCAACATTACGGCTTGTTTATTTTGTATTTTTAAATAAATATTTTTTTTTATATTAAAGTATATGTTGAACAAGAAAAAATCAATGGGTAGGATTTTCGAGAATGGGCCTGTTAAATTAGGTTAAAGGTTGGTATAGAATCTAATGGGCTTATTAAAAGTAGTAGGATCTTAAAAAAGGGAGTCCAAGAATAAGTTGGAGCGCTATTAAGGAAAAAGGTTTCCTTGGCAGATAACTGTGATTTCGAGGTCGGGCACAGAGATTAGACAAGATAAGGTCGGGCTCGGAGATCGGACGTGATGAGGTCGGGTACGTAGGTCGGACCTGATAAGGTCGGGCACAAAGATCAGACAAGATAAGGTCGGGCTCGGACATCGGACGTGATGATGTCGGGTACGTAGGTCGGACCTGATAAGGTCGGGCACAGAGATCATACAAGATAAGGTCGGGCTCAGAGATCGGATGTGATGACGTCGGGTACGTAGGTCGGGCACGGAGATCGGAAGTGATAAAGTCGGGCACGGAGGTCGGACCTGACAAGGTCGGGCACTGAGGTCGGACGTGATTAGGTCGGGCTCGGAGGTCGGACAGGATAAAGTCGGGCACGGAGGTCGGACGTGACAAGGTCGGGCACGGAGGTCGGACCTGATAAGGTCGGGCACTGAGGTCGGACATGACAAGGTCGGGCAAAGAGATGATTCATGGGGAGGTCAGACAAGTGAAAGACGGGCAAGAAGAGACAGAACAGCAGGTGTGCAGGTAGGGCGAAAAGTAGTTTTGGACGGTTGAGGGAAGTTACAACCGACAAGCGGATATGAAGGCGCGACTTGATTGTGACGGTTGACATGGGTTTTAAATAGATTTGTTCATGGCCTAAAGAAACCATCTTCAATCGACATCAAATTCAAGAGAATTGCTTTTGGGGATCACCACTTCACTTTTTCAGTCGGTAGTTTTTATTTTCCTAGTTTATTTATGTATCGTACAGTGTCTAGAGATTCTTAATCTCAAGCATTTATTTTATCAAATTCGAAGATAATTTCTATTTTCGGATTTTACTTTTTATTGTTGAAAAACGGCATCAGCAGTATGAAAATAGTGTCGATACTATAAAAAATATATATATATTTCCTCCGTCCCACATTGGAAGTCTTGGTTATTGTAGACACGAAAATTTAGAATAAGTATAATTAGTAGATAATTAAGAATGTATTAGTAAAAACAAATAACTTATAATATAAATCTTTATAGATTAAGATTAAGATAACTAATTATTTTAACTAAGATTAAGATAACTAATTAGTTTAATTAAAATAAAAAAATTTAAAATGAGATTAAGATGCGTAATCATTTTTCAAAAAAGGAAAGTGACATGAGATATGGGTCGAATAGAAACGGTAATATGGACATAATAAGTGGAAAGGAGGGAGTACTATTTTATATTGAATTTTTAACTTTTTGTAAGTGAATAAAATATATATTCACTTTGTTCGCCCAAGCAAACTTTTAAATTGCAATTCCTCAATAATAATACTCTCTACCTCCCACTTACCGTGTTCATATTATTGTTTTTTTTGTCTCACATCTCATGTCACTTTCTTTTTTTTTTTGAAAAAAATGAATATACACTTTAATTTTATTTTAAAATTTCAATTAGAATAATTAGTTATGTTAATTTTAATTTATAATTATTTATATTATAGGATAATAATTTTCATTAATACATTTTTAATTATATGTTTATTCTAAATTTTTGTATCTACAATTACTCGGATATGGTAAGTGGGACGAAAAGAGTAATAAACAATGCAAAATATATTTTATAAAAGTCAAAAATAAATTCAAATACTCATTAAGAAAAGTCAAAAAATCAAATGTTCAACTTAAAATAATATACTTTATATTTTTCACGCAATTTCGCATACTTAGTTAGCACACAATATGCTAAAAAATCAATTCATCTAAAAATATTTTGTGAACAAAACTATTATATATATATTTTTTGTATTAATATCTGTATATATATTATATTTTTTATACAACCTCCGTCCAGTTCTAAGGTCTCATTTATTTTTTGTGTGTTGATATTTGAATATTAATTATTATATGAAAACGTAAATACAAATTAATGAAAAATGACAAAAGTATTTCTATTAGTGTCTTATAGGACTATTATACTGATATTTGTGAAAAAATTTATACAAATATAATAATATTTTTGTTGATGTATTTTTTCAACAATAAAAAGTAAAATCCGAAAATAGGAAATATCTTCGAATTTGATATAATTAGTGTCTGAGATTAGGAATCTCCAAACACTGTAGAATACATAAATAAAATAGGAAAATAAAATACAGAACTAGAAAATAAAGTGGTGATCCCCAAAAGCAATTCTCTTGAATTTGATGTCGATTAAAGATATCTTTTTTCGAATAGCAGCGGATCCTTAAATAACCCCTTGAAGAAATGGTTTGAACCGTCGTCTGGTCGGTTGCAGCAACCGCTGTTCAACCGCCCAGAAAATCCTCCTCTGTCAACACATGTGTTAACCGACTCACCAACCGCTCGCGCCAGTTACAGCACTCAACTGCTCAACCGACCGCCTCTGAACACTTTTCTGCCTCAAATGGGTGGCTGGCCCGACCGGTTACTCAGCTGCCCAAAATAACCTCTGACTCCTTAGACGGACCGCAGGCCAACCGACCAGTCCAAATACTAACTGGTCGCTAGACCGAACGATTCATTGGTTGCTCAATCAAACGACCACCATCCAGTCTCTTTAATCGGCTGAATAACCATTCGTCCAGACGCTTGATTGGTCGCCCTATCAAGCGACCAACAGACCGCCCTTTCAAGCGACTGAACTACTGTTTGACCAAGTGACCGACCAATTGATCAGACGACTAATTAACAGACCTTTCTTCGTCCGTCTTCCTTTTGCCCGACCTATATGCCACCCGACCAATCCAAAGACTAACTGATCGCTAGACCAAACGATTCCTTGGCCGCCCCATCAAGCGACCACCATCTGGTCTCTTGTCCAACCACATATCGTCCGTCTCATTCTTCTTCGCCTGATCTCACTTGGTCCGAACTCCGCATCAACCGACCTCCATATCAGCCGACCTCCGTGTCGTCCGACTCAACCGACTACTGACCGCCCGACCTGCTCAACCGACTTTGGACTATCCGACCTATTTAACCGACTGAGAACCAACCGACTGCTGATCAGCCGATTGAGAACCAACCAACCGTGGATCAACCGACGGCGAAACAACATCCTCTGGTCGCCTTATCTCCTTAGATGGACGGCTGGTCCAATCGACTTCCTTTTGACTCTGCTACCATACCGTCTTACCTTGGCCCATCCGTGGGCCAACCAACCAACTTACTTTGGTCGGACTGCAGACCAACTGACCAACTTCCTTTGGTTAGACTGCAAACCAACTGACTTGCTTATCCGACTGCGTACCATCTGATCTCCTTCTTCGCCTGATTTCCTCTTTCAACCGACCTCGGCCAACCAACCAACTTACTTTGGTCGGACTGCAGACCAACTGACCAACTTCCTTTGGTTAGACTGCAAACCAACTGACTTGCTTATCCGACTGCGTACCATCTGATCTCCTTCTTCGCCTGATTTCCTCTTTCAACCGACCTCTGGGCCGTTTGGCTTATATTCAGACCCATTCAGAATCCTACTGCCATTATTAATTATTATTATTATTTTTTGTGCTCAACAATTTTATATTAGTACAATGACGCAAAAGGTAAATAAAACTCTTAAATCCGACGAAAAGAGTAATATTTATAGAGAATATGTTACTTAAAAAAAAAAAAAAAGATTGGGTAAACAAACTCATAGTTTTGTTCATCCAAACTAGAAATGTTCATGACATTATTTTTAATATATATAATATATATTTTATTTTTACTTAATATTTAATATAAATAATATTTTTATATTAACAATACGATTTTCTATATACTCTCTCTATCTCATTGAAAGGTTGTCATTTTTTATTTTGTTAGTCCCAAAATAAGGTTACCATTTCCTAATTTAGTAATTGTATTACCTACCTAACATAATAAATACCCTTCTAACTTACACTATATTACACAAATGTCATTACTTTTATATTACAAAATACTAATAGGGGTATTTTCGTCTTTTTCATTACAACTCATTATAATACTAATATTAAAAAATCTACGTTCACAAAGTAAACGACAACCTTGCACAACCTTGCACCGGGACGGAGGGATTATTACACTAAAAAAATATATCAAATTAAAATACTAACAAAACACATCCTATATTTTTAAGTATATACACAATTGCGTTCTATCTATTGCTATCAAATATTACTCTCTCCGGCACAAAATTTTAA